AACACAGCTGGGTCAAACCATCACAAGTGTGTATGTGTGTGTGTGTGGGGGGGGGGGGGGTGTAAAAGAGAGAGAGAGAGAGAGAGAGAGAGAGAGAGAGAGAGAGAGAGATTGCACAGGTGTGACCTGAGTGATGAGCAGGTTCCTCGCTAATGAGGCCGAACTCTAGTTTACCCCCCGCAGAGATTCACCTTCTGACAGAATGAGGCCCCGGTTAACACACACACAACCCGCAACAACCATGTACCCCCTACCTGTCAGCCAGTGTGTGTGTGTGTGTGTGTGTGTGTGTGTGTGTGTGTGGAGATAAAGCTTTATGAAGTGAAGTTGTTGCAGTGCAGGGCAAAGGTACAGCAGTGCCACGCCCAGCCGTCCCAGCCATTCACAAAACCTGGTCAGATTCCTGGAACACCAGCATAATGTGGGGCAGCAAAGTGCTGAGTCAGCAGTGTGTGTGTGTGTGTGTGTGTGTGTGTGTGTTTGTGAGCGAGAAAGAAATGAGAGGCAAATAAATAAGAAGTATGTGTGTGTCTGGATGGCAGAGAGTGAGAGAAGGCAGGTAGGAGCGCTGAGAAAATGCGTATGAGAAAGAAAGTGCATGGGTGTGTTTACGAAGGAGACTGTGTGTATGTCTGTGTGTGTGTGTGTGTGTGTGTGTGTGTGCAACCCTTTGCGGAAAGTTCAGGGCGGGACCCATCAGCATTTAAAGCGGCGACATTTTGGAATGAAATCAATTCTTTTCAGTGGATTCATTTGCAGGAGTAAATCCAAGTTAAATTTTGGTTAAATTGACAAATGAATGGTGCTGACCAATGGCAAAGCAACTTGACAATGCTGACCTCTGAGGGAACAGAGTTGAAAACAGGGGTCCTTTTCACTTTTACGTTACCCTTTTCTGTCAGGTTATAGCCTCAAAAGAATGATTTGTAGATGGTTATGAGACAGGAGTTGATTGGACAAATAACACAACAAGTAACCCACATGTGCAAAGTGGGAGGAGCTATTTCAAGTGTTCTGGTGCTGGAAGTAAAAGTCTCATTCATTTATTTATTTAAAGGTTCAGTGTGTAATATTAAGGAGGATCAACTGACAGAAATGTAATATAAGATCCATAACTATGTATTCAGTGGTGTATAAAGACCTCACATAAAGAACTGTTATATTTGTATTACCTTAGAATAAACCATTTCTATTTACGCGGTTTTATTTAGCAGTTAGTTTGCTGTCCATGTAGAGTGAACTAGATGTCTGCGTGTTGTTTATACGCTCTGATAATGCTACTCCAACACATCATTGTAGTAGCGTCCATGTTGATTCGACATTCTGACTAATGAGCACATGAACATACACTGAAGTCGGAAGAACCAATTCACAACTCGTGAAATGGGATGATCCAAGGAGCATGTGAATGCACTGTGAGCAGCTGGTTGCCATTTGCAACCTTCACCAATAGATGCCACTAAAACTTACACACTGAACCTTTAAGTACAAGTACGAGTACGAGTCTTGGTTATTTCACAGGAACTACCACAAGTGTTTCCAAGTGCTCAGTAAGCCTCTTTCCCATTACACTAAAAAACAGAATTAAAAACAGCTAGTTTAGCATTTTGCAGCCATGATCAAGGCTTATTACACAAAAAACAAGTGTTTCCTGGTAACAAGTTACAGCATTAAAAATATCATTTGTAAAGTATTACCTTGAAACCAAAGGTAGTTTGGACCATAAGGGAGGATGAATTTCAACATTATAATATGGTACTAAGCTGTTCGTATTAATGGTTAATAATTGATCTCTAACTGCTTTACAGTTATAATAAAGCAATTAGTTATGACTTATAAATCCATTATAAAAGGGTGCCATATGAGAACGTGCTACCTATTTTGTGTGTATCATACATACAGTTTAAGTCTTCACTGTAACCTGTTGGGAGGAAACTTTGGTCACAAATTGAAAAAAAACTGAGAGAAAGTGCTGAGAGAACAATAAATCACACAAACTCCCAACACACACATCAACACTCACAAGAGAAACATTGGAAGGTGCCTACTGTGTCTGTGGTCCACTCAACACAAGGCTTCTTCAGTCTGTCTGTCCTCTTCCCTTCAACAGACAATGTCTGAGTCCGTCACGCAGCCACTGGAAACTAATGAGTGTGTATGTAAGTGTGTTGCACCATCATTCATACTGCAACGCCATTAAATGTGTCGTCACACCGGCTCTGTCTCAACAGGCAAGAAACAACCAGAACCACCTCCCACCGCTCTAATCTATCTATCTGCCTGCGCTTTTCTGCACTTTTAGAAGAAACTGTGTTTTCAGAGAGTGCGCGTGTGACAGAGAGAGAGAGAGGGAGAGGGAAAGAGAGAGAGTGTGTGTGTGATAGAGAGAGAGAGAGCTCCACAGTAGTTGTTATTGCTCACAAACGTCACTGCTTCAGCCTCAAACCACAGAGCACTACATGAAAACACACACAAAACATAAAACTCATGCCTTTGGTTTTGATGTGTGTGTGTTTGTGTGTGTGTGTGTGTGTGTGTGTGTGTGTGTGTGTGTGTTTGACAGGTGCTAGCTCACAATAGGAAGTGAGTTAGAGATTAGGAATTCAGAGAGATGCCTTCGGTTTCGATGGTGGGAAACCACCAAGGGGCAATTTGCCTGAACACACACTCATCCATGCACAGACCACACAATATATTCTTCATGCGTCACAACTAACCCTTTGTGTGTGTGTGTGTGTGTGTGTGTGTGTGTGTGTGTGAGTGTGAGAGAGAGAGAGTCATACCACTCTCATGCTTATCATGAACCTTCACCTAATTCTGCATCAGTCCATCCTCGTCTTAAGTCACCTGATACCCTTATGGTCCCAGCTTTTTACCCATAATCCCAAGCTGTCATTCACAATATTTAACTCTCTGCCTCAATCACTTTCTCATGTGGGAAAAGTATTGATTTTTCATTGCAATTGAAATCTCCCAAGAAAACACTCAAGACACCTCAACAAGTGACAAGTTATAGATTCACAGCGAAATAGTAAATATTCACCATAACTATTATGTTGCCATTATTCCCTTCTATATGGTCCTTTAAAGTAACTTCATACTCACTGTAGCTAAAGATTTTCTTTGAATACTGTAACTTGAAAAACGTGGAAAGCCACTAACTCAAGATCGAACAAATTATGTGTTAGTGTGAATTTGTTCGAACGCAACACATACAGTTGGTGTGTCTGTGTGTCTCCTATAGAGCACTTATCAAAACAAAGTACAAAGAGCTTCACAGAGACACACAGAGAAAGATTAAATGAAATACCACAGTGAATGATACAATATATGAGGGGCAAAATAAAAATAAGACATATTAGAAAATAATAAGAAAATAAAAAGCCAATAAAACAAACAGGCAGCTCGGATAAAATCAGTATACTTTCTGATAAAAGTGCATTTTTAGAAACTTAAAAGTAGGAAGGGTCATGTTACAAGAAACAAAACTAAATTTATTCGTTCATTCATTCATTTATTCATTCATATGCAGTCATGTCTGGAGTAAGACTTCTACAAATTACACTAATAAGGGAGACACAGCAATAAACTGGACTACATAGACTGTGTAAAAGAAGTGGACTCAACTGAAAAGACACTGTGAGAGGGTCAAAGTTCTTAGCATCGGCTCCACTTTTCAGATCCAGAGGTTGCTGCTTGCTTGGCTGCAGCAGCTATAGGCAAGTTAATGATATTATAGTCTAAAAGTGAGACTATACTTTTAAAGGGGAAATAAAAAAATCTTCTTCTTTCACCCACAAATTAAAAGTTGAAATAAAAAAAACAACAACAACCATTTGAATAAACTTTTTTCTGCTGCAGTCTTGTATGACCACATTCTTACGGTGGCTAATATTAGCTAACGTTAGCAAACTTCAGATGGATATAAATAACATTACTGTGTCAACTCACTGACTTTATGACTTTTCTATTCTTGCGCTGTCACGCTACATTTTTACCATTTATATCGCTACAAATGTTAAACACTCAAATATTTTAATACAATATTTGCTAATGCATTAGCATGAAGCAGAAGAGTAAAGGAGCTACCAGGGACACATGCGTCATTGTGTGATTCACCACTTAATGGATGACTTGACCAACAGACCAACAGAAATTAAGCATCTGAACCTGTGCCATTTTCTTACCACTTCCTTTGCTTTATCACCTCAGATCATATAAAACACCTACTAAAACAAGAACTCATATGCAACACAATAGACCTCATTCTCCTCATTTCCTCCTTTCACTCTTCTCCCTCCGTTTATCTCTCAACCTTTTTATCCTCCCATCCTGCTTGTGTGCCTGCCAGCATACATCACTGTCATGTGACTGCAGGGAAAAAATCCACACATATACACACACCCAGATGAAGCTGTAAAGGCAACGTAATGCGGTTAGGAGGCAAAGTTCACAGCGAGAGGGAGTGGCAGGGTAAATAAGAGCACACATATACACCCCTAACCTAATTGTAACCCTAACCCTGAGACCATGTCTTAACCCTCAAACAACCTTTAAACTTGTGTGGGTCCAAAAATTTGGGCTGCTAAGACCCCACAAGTATGTGACATCCTATTTTTTTGACCCCACAAAGTCAGCTAAACAAGGCGACACACACTCACATACACACAGCCTTTCACAACAGGTAGGATCACGCTGCTCGCCCACACACACACATTCTTCTCGTTCCACAGCCAGGTACACGATCATAGGGCACAAAGCAGTATTAACTACACACACACACACACACACACACACACACACACACACACACACACACACACACACACACACACACAGCATCTTCAACTTGAATCCTAATGTGATCTTTGTGCTTGCAATCTGGATTTTCCAAGAATTGTAAAGATGATCACGAGATGTTCTTTGCAGATTCATCAGTTTTGTCCTTATTTAGGGACACACACACACACACACACACACACAAGGAGAGGGATTCAGACCTTTTTGCCGGTGGGTGCATCATTCCAGTCCTGCTTGCTTAATTGAAGGCCATAGGCATCTGCAGCATACATTAACTTCCAGTGAAGCCTGGTGGAAAGAGAGAGAGAGAGAGAGAGAGAGACCAGATGGTTACATAAGAAGTCCCTGTGAGATGGACAGCATCTCTTTCCAGCCTGCCCTCAGTGATCAGCAGCCTGCCAGCCAGCCTCACAGTCCCAGAGGAGAAAAGTAATAAGGGGAGAGACGTTACATAAATGCCATTCAGCATTCAAGTAAACACTCATGAGGCGACAAACGAAGCCACGAATAACGCACACACACCTGCTGTAAACACGTTAACAGAATAATCCATCTCTACTCAGATCTCTATTCCCACAATGGTCTCTCTAACACGATCCGTCTCTGTTTACGGGAATAGGATCATCACCTCTGACCTCTCCTCACTGCTGCTGTTTATGGTGCTCAGAAAGGCACCGATGCTAGCTGTGCAGGATAAGTGCACGCTGAAGATGGCAATGCGACGAGATAAAGCATTACTCAGAGCACAGTATGGTGTTGACAGTGAACTTTGAACAGCTTGGAGGGCATAGGGATGTCACTTAGACAGTTAGGTCTTTCCAGTACTTTGGTCCAGGGCAAACATACTGAACAACAACATGAAATTTGGATGTGCGTATTTTTAGGTACCCTCCAGACCTTTCCTCTGGTGACACAATCAGGGCAAAATATTATTCACAATTTTGCACAGATGATGAAATATCAGAATATCAACTATGTACACGCAACATATCACATTCACAAGGGGATAAACCGATCTGGTTTTGCAATACCTTTGCGTAACATACTCAAATGAAGATTGTGAGGCAAGAGGGCAGTAGTATTAGGGCTGCAAGTCAGCATTATGTTTATTATCAATTGATCCAATTTTTTTTTTTTTTCAAATTGTTTGGTGCCTAAAATGAATTGAAAATGACACTTGACAAAGCTTCTATAGACCAACAGAACGGCTGCATGCAAAATCGGCACAGTGCCCCTATATGTATGGAGGTGTGGGGTCGTGGTCTGATATTATTTCAAATCGTATCTTGAAGGCAGAATCTCTCAAATTGCCTATATGCAACATGAGGGAACACGTGTCCTCTGACTATATAGTCACTCACATCGCAACTAAGGGTTGCGCTTTGGTCCTGCAGATCCCTGGGATTTGTCTGATTGAGGAGCAGCAGCAGACGCACAAAGCTAACCAGAAGGACAGGAACAGCACGTTAACACAGGACAATGGGCCCCTGTGTCTTTACGTGTGGATATATTTGGCACAACAAACATGTCCAGCTCATCTTCTCTGGATTCTTTTCATCTCTGTCCCCTCTGGCTCAACATTTTTTTCATACCAGCCTAATGCTCCTGTTCCTCCCTTGTGCTGCATGATGTTCCCAAAGCACCTGCAGGAGTGTCACAAGGGAGTTTACAGGCACATATACATTCCGTTACTGACAGCTGCTGTGGTTCTCCTGAGTGCAACACTGATGCAGCCTGATTCGTGGACTGGTAATGCCCTTAATTCCATATGCCAATCAACACATCTAGCACATTTCATTGTTATACAGTGCCTGGTTCTGTTAAGTGACAACCTGACGATGGAATAAATTCCATTTAACCAAGCTCAGTTCTCAGTGCAGATGCAGAAACATCGCCCCCTTGTGGACGAAGCGGGAGGATTACACTCTGCTAACAATGGCAACTGAGGGTTCATGGCCAAATGCCAACATAATGGTGACCTGCTGAGTAATCTGTGGGAAGACCTCAAAGGCCCAAGGAGTGTTTTGTATGCAGTTCCCCTAAGCAGTGCAATCTAAGCAGCTGGGCTCAGGGGAATTGCAGTAAGCACTGTTTGAGCTTCTGTATAACGCAATACAGTGTGTGTGTGTGTGTTTTCACAGGCCAGTCACAAACCGGGCACACACACGCCTGGCAGAAACCCACGGAGAGAACATGCAAACTCCACACAGAAAAACCCGGGCTGAGCGAGATCTGAACCCGGGCACCTTATTGTTTTGAGGCACCAGTGTTGTCCACCGGGCCACCATGCAGCCCACTGAAAGAGCTGACAAACAGGGTTTTGGGGGGGAGTGATGTGAGAACTGAGAAACGGGAGAGAAAGGGGTTATACAGGTTTATATACGTATGTGCAGGTGATTGGATTAGAGAGGCACAGGTGGATGGAATGAGTGAAGCACGGGTGTTTGGATTGGAAGAATTGAATGAGGCGTAGGTGGTTGAATTAGTGAGAGAGAGAGGCGTGATCCTGTTATGGGTAAAAGATGAAAGATACATTTGTTACAGATTAATAACTCCCCACTGTGAAACTCTTGCTCCAGTCCATGTTACTAAGCTGGTAAGGGGAACAGGTACAGCTGAACCGAAGCCGTGTTTACCAGCTCTTCAGGGCCCGCCCTTCTCTGCTTCTGACTGGCTAGTAGTCCTTAACTAGGAACTGCGCATGTGCAACTCCTATCAAAATCTTGTAGAGGTGAGATGTATCACTCCATAGCTAAAACGAAGCGTTCAACACACAGGTTGAAAAGAGGAGCTGCCGCAATGTGTAGTCTGACAAAAATATGGTGTTTTTTGAAAATTAAACCATGTAAACCTGTTCTGGTGCAACCCCTAAATAAGATTATGAACCTGCAAATTTGCATAAAATGACTACTTTAAACCAGTATCAATCACTCAGTAAGGTACTGACAGATTGGATTTAAATTAGAGCCCGACCAATTTCTCGACCGGCCAATATTATTGGCCAATATGAGCGAATTGCATTTAATCGGCATTGGCCGTTTAAAACAGCAGATATATGACTATTAAAAAATAAACATAAGAGTCAGATCCTTCACTCATGTCATCGGTGTTGCATAGTTTGCCCACAGCTGCAGCTCCCACAAAAAACACAAAACCACAAAAACCACAGCTGACCGCAATCTACCGGAGTGAAGCCAGCACTCTGCATGTAGAAACACGCACAGTGCTGTGTTAGCAGTGAGTCGGTCTTTTGTCACGTTAATTACATAACTTAAATAATTATAATAAAACAGCCCCAATCACTTCTCCTCTCCTGAAAACATTCATGACTTGGTAACCCTCCTGTTTTTTGCTGCACTCTCGGGGCTTCCTAGCAGTGTAACGTTACAGTAGCTGGGCGTTGAAAGCTGCTGACAGTAACTGGAGATTTAATCTGAAACTTTAAAGTGTGGCAGTTCTAGTGAACGGTCCTCAATTGTCCCTAGTTCATCACTTCTAAATATTCTCTAAAATCACGTAACGTTACAGCAGCTAACGCTGCCTGTTGCTAAATTAGCCACAAAGCTAATGCCGTGTTTATCTGTGGAGGAGCCCTAACGTTAATGAGCTGCCAGCCGCCTGTCTGCAGTTAGTTGGCATGTCTGAAATGATTAAACCAGAGCAGACATGTAAATAAACGTGAACTGAACAAGAAAATAACGCGGCTTCCTGTAGCTCCTCTTTGTGTGAGAGCCGTAATGGCTCTGATTATAGTTATAACGTTAGTCAAGTGAAATCTCAAAGCTGCAGGTCCTCGGTGTAGACAGTTTTAGATGCATTGAACAGCAGCTCACTGTAATGTAGACGCATGATTTATACGATGGTGGTTAAGAAATAGTTTCTTGTAGCTTGGTTAGAATTAATTAAAGAGTGCTGGTAAAGGGATGAACTAGATGTGAATATGCTACATTTAAAGTAAAGTGAAATACACATGCTTATTCTCTCTCACGCTCTCTGTTTACAGACGGCTGAAAAAGTTGCACCTTCCATATTCACATATTCACTTTTTGAGACAGTAATCTATATTATTAACATAATTCATTTAGATAAAGGTTTTTTAGCCCACATACAGTACATACCAGCTTTCAATATCGGCCTGTTCTAAGTGTAGTTAGTTAGTAAAGGGGTCTACTATCCAAATCATTCTCTATATCTAAATATCAGCTCATAAATCGGTTCTTTTTCACTTTAATATCAGCATCGGTCCCCAAAACCCCGTATCGGTCGGGCTCTAATTTAAATAGCAATGTAAAGACAACCATCTCTGCTCTCTGCCCACTGCTGACTGCTAGTTTCCCACACAGAGGGGACAAACCTGCCTTGGATGCAGAGCGACACAGGGGTAGCATTGTTCCCATTGCCCTTAGACTCAGAGATATATATGCACCAGGTTTGACAGACGAGGACTTCAGCGAGAAGAGAGAGGGACCTGTCACAGCTCAAGTGACTCTAAAGCATTAATGCAATGTAACAACTGTAGTATAAACATGACCGCTGCCAGGAGGGCAATGTTAGCATCCCACTGGCTGGAGGGAAACGTCAATCAACACCAATGCCAAATAAGGCACCACATCTTCCTTAATGATGTAACCGCAGCACTATGACAAAGCTCCTTTCCTGCCAACCACCTCAGCAGTGTGTGTGTGTGTGTGTCTCTGGCCGCTGGTTTTGCTGCATCCAGAGCACCGTACATCGTGTTCCTGAGCGGCATCTGACAGTAGCCCTGCGTGCTGCCAAAGAATGTGCTTCCTGGCATTCGCCCAAACCTCTGACTGCACTACACACACACACACACACACACACACACACACACACACACACAACCTTTCCCACTATCAAACACACACTAGCATCTTCCTGATGTCCCTGCCTTTTCACCTTTGAGTTGGCAAAACAATAAGAGCGGCTTGGTATGCGATTCACACACTCACACAAAAACAATCTTTTCTCAGAAACTCATCTGTTTTCTGTTATTCCCCACTCATGATGTCCAGTATGTTTCCTTATTTGTTTTGTATTTGGTTTCTGGATGTACTAACTTTCCCTAAACTTGCATCAATAACTTCTATTTCCATAATGGATTTCCTACATTTCCCGGAATGCATTTCAAAGCTTTTGCTATTTCTTCTGAGGGACGAATGGTGTGTTCTATCTGACATGGGAAGTCGGAATTTCTGTGTTCCATATCCGAAATTTCAACAGGAACGTCCCATTAAGTAGGATTTCCGACTCAGAAAGTGGTGCAAACC